AGAGAGAGAGAGAGAGAGAGAGAGAGAGAGAGAGAGAGAGAGAGAGAGAGAGAGAGAGAGAGAGAGAGAGAGAGAGAGAGAGAGAGAGAACGGAAGGTGTAAAGGATGCGTGCTAATTAAGTAATGGTGCGCACGATGAAAGACTACTGTAAATGGTCTGTGACTGTGAGCGATTTACCCAGTACAGGGAAGAATGCTATGATGCTGTCGCAAGAGATGGTGCCTGCACGCCGCAGACCATGTTCGCGGGAACGGCTATGTCCATCATCTTCGGGTACGCGAGCCCTAACGCGCCCATTAGCTCCTTGAACTCGTCCTCAGTTTTCGTCAGTCTTGGGTTGTACTTGATTTCCTCTCCAACGGTGCTGACAGTGAGCCCCTTGTAATCGTGAGCTGGGTAGATGAGCGTGTGTGCAGGGAGAGTGAAGATCTGAGAGTGCACAGATCGGTATAGCGTGCGGGCGTCGCCTCCCTGAAAGTCCGTCCGGCCGCAGCCTCTTATAAGCAGCGCGTCGCCAACGAAAGCCATCAACCGGCTGCTGCTGCTGCTGCTGCTGCTGCTATTGACGGCGTCATCGTTTGTCGTTGGTCGGTAAACACCATCATCCTGCATCAAGTCTCCTTCGCTGGCAGAGGGAGGGAGTCGAGGACGTTCTGGGAGGCTCGCCACGTATGTGACGCACCCTTGCGTGTGTCCTGGTGTCGAACGCACCTCGAGTGCTAGCCCGCCGAACCTGATCTTATCCCTGTCGTGCACGTAGAGATCGGCCTGCGCGCCGCTGGCGGCAGAGATGACCGACCTCACGCCCGGCAACAACGACTTAATCTTTCCCGTGCCCGTCACGTGGTCTGCGTGCACGTGCGTGTTCATCGCGAACACCAGCGTGAGTCCCAGCTCCTCTATCAACTTCAAGTCCCGTTCCACCGTTCGATCAACGGGATCTATGATCACGGCCCTCTTTCTCGGATCGCAGCCGTCCGCCAGGATGTACGTGTACGTGCTCGACTCTTTCTCGAAGAGCTGTCGAAAGACTACTCCCTCTGCCTCACCCATGGTCTCCGTAGTCGTGCCCTCGTCGCCCTCTCGTCGAGGCTCTGTCCCGTCCGCTGCGACGGTTATCGCCTGGCCCCTGGCACGCCAATGTCCTCTCCTCCGCCGCTCGCCTACATCCCGACGAATCGCCCTGGAGGAGTCAGACAGAGAACGCCCGATCGCAACGCGGATGTGGCCGCCATCAGTGACAATAGCTCTCTTATTCGTCTCTTCATGCAGGACGTGATTCTTTCTCAGCAGTCCGAACCACGATCCTTGTGTGGGGCCCGCTTCGCGCGTCCGCGCTGGCGATCTACAGTCGACGATGTGCGCGGCCTCGGCAGATACTAAGTATGATGAGCAGAACGGAGGAGCGGAGGACGGTGGAGAACCGTCGTCCTTCCTCAAGGTCGGAGGTCGAGCGGGGCACAATCCAAAAGATCGTACGGTCTTGATAAGACTGTTCCAGCTTCCGTGGGCAACGGCAGAGAGTGAAGGAAGCACAGCAATCGGTTGCCGCGGGCATTGAACGACCATGGAGAGCGCCATTGGCCTGTTGCCGGAGATCTTTCTGGCCCTCACGCTACTCCACCACGTGTCAGGCGATTGGCTCTACGTCACAGTCACAGTCAGTTCTAGATGGGTCGTGGAGGACTTAGAGTGCTGGTTTAGATCGGTCGTTGTCCTAAAAAAAATAGGAATCCCCAGCCAAAGTACCGAAAACTAAAGCTGCTCAAAGAAATTTAGGACCACGGTTACACGCATTCCTCAAAAACCCAGAAAAAAAAAAAAAAACAGTGTTTTTTTTTTCTCTCTCAAATTCGCCTCACACTACCTACCTACCTAAGACTATATAGAGGGGACCCCTGCAAGCATAGGGCCTCGCAAACGAGGAAATTCATGTTGTCCCACGGGGGGTGGGGCGGCCGGTGGGGGTCCGGCTAACGCAAAGACCGAGCATTTTGCCAGTAGCTGCGCCTCCCTTTCTCATCGTCTCCCACCACTCATCGAGTAGCAGCAGAGGCTATGGTCAACACTCTAGGACCAGCCCTAAACGAAAGTGGTCAATTGGGTCCTAGAGTGGTCCTAGAGTGTTGGCCATAGCCTCTGCTGCTACTCGATGAGGGGTGGGGGACGATGAGAAAGGGAGGTGCAGCTACTGGCGAAATGCTCGGTCTTTGCGTTAGCCGGACCCCCACCGGCGGCCCCACCCCCCGGGGCGAGTCGGATAGGAGTGTGGCCGATCCAGTGTGACACTGAGTGGCAGGGGCCGCCGGTGGGGGTCCGGCTAAAACCAAGAAAAGGGAAAAGGGTTTCAGCCAATTGGGTCCTAAATCTTGTAGGATTCATTTTGGAGTGTCTCACGAGCCCCTAACTGCATGCATTGTAGGAGTTGTGGTTTCTGGCAACCAAAACGATCTGAAAAAGGGGATGTAAACTAGGTAGGTTCCGCCACATCAGAGAAAAGAATTGAACCGCCAGTAAGTACAGTACCTTTCTCAGATAAAAGCCGCGGGCCAGAAATTGCCCTGCGTGCCACGAATATCCGTTTCCTCATGGACGTACCTGCCCACTGCAGCCAGCAATTTTGCAGCGGGCCTGGTTTTTTTTTTTTTTTTTTTTTTTTTTTTTTTTTTTTTTTT